ACTCGTGAGGCTGAGACAGAATAATCGCTTGAACCCCGGGAGGCCAAGGTTGCAGGGAGCCGAGATTACACCACTGCACTCCAGCCTGGGCTAGATGGAGAGAGACTCCATCTCAAAAAAAAAAAAGGAATCATTTTAGAATTTGACTGAGTTGTCTACATTTATAAATTGGTAATACCCACATAAGAATCAGACTTTCAGCCGCTCTTCAACAGCAGCAAGGGCTGCATGTCTGACCCGAGGGTCCCTAGGGTTGCACCTGACCAGGCCACTTCACCCCCTGCATACCTGTGTGCCCTCCAGACACCTAAGCTTGAACCTCCTGCACGGCACAGGCCACGCTGTGTTCGACTCCCTCCACTCGTTCCTTGCCCACATCTGTTTGTCAGCACGTCTTTCCCCAAACACCTCACTGCTGCTGCCCAGGCTAATTGAGGCTCTGCTATAACCATTGCCGGTGTCTTCGTCCTGTTCCTTCTTACACGAGATGTGAATATTCATTCAAAGACTCTGGACATTGTGTCTGGACCCAGAGCTAGCCCTGCAGGTCTGCAACAGACAGCTAGGAGATGCCCCGATCCCACCATACAAGGCAGCTCACTCCACCCTCGAAGGCCTGACGTGTGTGACCCCTCACTGGAGCGCATACACACGGGGCCGCTATAGGACACAAGCGCTGGGAAGGGAGGAGGGGGACGGGGCACACACACAAGGCCACCGTAGGACACAAGTGTCAGCAAGGGTGGAGGGGGACAGAGTCCCCCAAAAAAACTGCCTGACCCACAGAATGTGTGTTATGGTTTCCAAAAAAAAAGGTCACATTTCTTTTCCTTTTGTTGGTTTAGTTTTCATGATGGTTAATTTTATGTGTCAGTGTGCCTGGGCTGAGGGATGTCCAGATGGCTGGTGGCGCCTTATTTCTGGGTGTGTGTGTGAGGCTGTTTCTGGAAGAGATTAGCATTTGAATCTGTGAACTGAAGAGGGAAGCTGCACCCTCAGCAATGCAGGCCAGCACCATCCAATCCGAAGAGAACAAAAAGGCGGAGGAAGGGAAATCTTCCTGCTTCTTGAGCTGGGACATCCATCTTCTTCTGCACAGAGACATCTGAGTTCCTGAGTCTCAGTCTTTCAGACTCCAAGAATGTACGATATTCATCTTTCTTTGCCTGCCTTATTCCACTTACTATAATTTCCTCCAGTTCCAGCCATGTTGCCATAAGTGACATAGCTCCTTCTTTTTTGTGGCTGAATAGTACTCCACTGGGTATATGTACCACATTTTCCTCATATATTCATCTGCTGATGGACACTTAGGTTGATTCCATACCTTGGCTATTGTGAATGGTGCTTTGATAAACATAGAGGTGCAGGTGTCTCTTCCATATGCTAACCTCCTTCTTTTGGATTCACACCCCTGATTCTTGGGCGCTTTAGCCTTGTACTGAATTGCACCACTGGCTTTCCTGCACCTCCAGCTTGCAGACAACAGATAATGGAACTTTCTGGCTTCCATAATCATGTCAGCCAATTGCTATAAGAAATCTCCTCACATATTTATATATATCTCCTACTGGTTCTGTTTCTCTGGGGAACCCTGACTAATACCATTTTATAAAAGATTCACAAAATGAAAAGAATAAGGAATGCCCGTTAACAGTCACCCACATCCTTTACTGTATGTAAAATCAGTTTTCTGTTTTGAAAAAATAGTTAACTGGGGTATTAAATGTATAGTCTAACATGCTGAACTTCATCTTTTTACACCAGGTTTCTTTACATTCTCAATTAGAAAATAAAAGTGAATGCAGAACTACTAACTGCACATTTAACACTGATTTGAATAGCAAGCATGGTAAAATATACTACATATGCATACATAACTAAGGCTACCGCTCTGACATGGACATTCCTTCTTAAAAAATGGAATGCAGGTTCCAACGCATATGGAAATCCTTATTTATTTATTTATTTATTTATTTATTTATTTATTTATTTATTTTTGAGACACCCAGCTCTGTCACCCAGGCTGGAGTGCATTGGTACAATCTCGGCACAATCTTGGCTCACTGCAACCTCCACCTCCTAGGTTCAAGTGATTCTCCTGCCTTGGCCTCCTGAGTAGCCAGGGTTACAGGCACCCGCTACCACACCTGGCTAATTTTCATATTTTTAGTAGAGACAGGGTTTTGCCATGTTTGCCAGGCTTGTCTCGAACTCCTAACCTCTGGCAATCCACCCACCTCAGCCTCCTAAAGTACCGGGATTACAGGCGTGAGCCACCGTGCCCAGCCTCATATTTAACATTAATCTTGCCAACACTGGCAACCCACTAGTGGTTCCTTTCATCTGAGTTTCTTAGTCCAGATTCATAGAACCATAGTCCCTGACTTATTTAAAATGCATATTGTTTTTAAAGCAACAGCTCCTACCCCGTGCTAGGTAAAACTGGAAGGAGACTGTAAAGAAAACCAAACTAAACCAGGTGCGACATCCATGTCTAGCGCGCTCTTTCAACACGTGTTAAGAATCACAGCCTCCCCCAACATAAAACCAGAAGAGTTTGATTTTTTTTAACGTCTTTTGTGAAATGAACATGAAAGTGCTGGAATCAAAATAAGTCTGCAACTAGACTCCCTGAGTGCTGCAGAGTTGTGTCTGACGGCTCACAGGAAGCCGGTAACTAGCAGAAATGACCTGAATACATCGGAGGCATGATAGTGATTTGCAAACATTAAACGTAATATCTTACAAGAGGTTGTGTGAAATAGGAAGAGCCAAACTGCTTTCATTCTCCTGTTCAGCCTAATATATCCACTTATAAGGGATTGCTATTCAGACGTTCACCGATAAAGTTGGAGTACTTTCTTTGGTCCTTTGAAATTGAGCTATAAAGTAAATAGACGTTGCCTTTTGGGAGACGGAAAAAAAAAAATATCCAGAACACTTTGCCAGAGTGGAGATTAATATTCGCTGACCTGAAGCTTGGCTGGAGTTGATTTTGAGAGATATAGAGTATGGTAAAAAGCAATAAGCCTTTGTTTGGAGAATCAACAAGTAACTACTGAAAACTCTTCCTATCTGGATATTATTTGGGCTTTTAGATATTACTATCAAAAGAGAAGCCTTCAGTGCTACCTACACCTTTTGTAGACAATAACAGACAAATGCCTGGGTCCCACCTTTGCTATTTCCTTCCCCTTCCCTCACGGCTTGTAATCTCTATCCCCACCCCCCACCCCCCTGCCACCCTCCACCCCCCTACCACCCCCCACCACACCCCACCACCCACCACCCCATGAAGTTTTCATGTTGTTTGTGCTGGAATTTGTTTACAACTCTGTGAGAAGCAGGCAGTGAAAAGCATGACACGTCATCACACTACAGAAAGGGAGAGTGAACTTGAATTAAACATCTGCTGCAAGAAATCTTAAAAACTGAATATTCAAGTATTTGAGTTTTCAGTTTTGAAGCATAGCTTTCTGGATTTTGGAAGAGCATATGTGCTTTAATAAAGACGGTTAGTAGTAGAAGCTAATATTTTTTTAAGAAGCTAATTTTCGCTGAACGTGGTGCTCATGCCTATAATCCCAGTACTTCAGGAGGCCAAGCAGGTGGGTCACTTGAGGCCAGAAGTTTGAGACCAGCCTGGGCAAAAAGGCGAGATCCTGTCTCTACAAAAAATAAACAAAATTAGCCAGGAGTGGTGGCGCATGCCTGTGGTCCCAGCTACTTAGGAGGCTGAGGTGGGAGGATTGCTTGAGCCCAGGAGGTCAAGGCTGTAGTAAGCCATGATCACACCACTGCACTGTGTCTGGGCTACACAGTGAGACCCTGTCTCAAAAAAAAAAAGATTTTTATTTACTAGGGATAGGAAGTGACAATGCCTTTTTTTTTTTTTTTTGAGACAGAGTCTCACTCTGTTGCCCAGACACAGTGCAGTGGCGCGATCTTGGTCCACTGTAACCTCCCTCTCCCAGGTTCAAGTGATTATCCTGCCTCAGCCTCGGAGTAGGTGGAATTACAGGCATGCACCACGCCCAGCATTTTTTTTTTTTCAATCTTTTTAGTAACGACAGGGTTTCACCATGTTGCCCAGGCTGGTCTCAAACTCGTGACCTCAAATGATCCTCCCACCTCAGCCTCCCAAAGTGCTGGGATTACAGGCGTGAGCCAGTGCACCACTGCACCCAGCCAACACCTTCCCTTTTGATAACATCGGTGTTTAGTGAGCTCTCAGCACGTGTCGTGCGCACCGCTAAAGCTCTGCCATCAATGCATTCAGCGCATGTCACAACTCTAAGAGGCAGGTGTTACAATAAGCTTCACTTATCCGGAAGGCAAAGTGGGGCTTGGAGACTCGGCCAGGGTCACTCTCTGCAGGAGGCACTCTGGGTGTCGGATGCAGGCAAACCCTGGAGGATGAATCCCCAGAACCATCTGTGGCCTCCTACACTGGGCAATACCTTTCCATGCTCCTGGGAGGTGATGGCACACATGTGTACCCCAGAAGTCACCGGATAACCAGCTAAACCAAGGGACAGGTACATGGCCCTTTCTTCTATTTCCTGATGTACACACGTGTTCATGTATTTACGCAGGAACCCTGCATAGTTTGTGCATTTGTTTCAAGGAATGAAAAGTGATCGCATAAGCGCTCGTCCTCTGAAAGCCAGCAGATGTTCCATAAATACAAGGTTGTATCTGAGACTACCCATTTCAGAAATCAGAAATCCAGACATCTCAGAGGTGACGTATCTTTCCCAGCTCTGTACAGCAACTTGGCAACAGAATCAAGAATGGAACTCAATGCTCCTGTTCCCTAGGCTTCTGCTAGTGGCACACCCAGGCAGCTGCCCAGGTGATAACAGAAGATAGCATGCTCTCTGCAGGGCTCCGGCTAGGACAGGAATACTGAGCGCTAACAGAAAGACTCTCTCCATTAAACACAGGAAAACTATTCAGACGAGGCGAGTGAATGGAGGGAAAGAACTTTTCTTTACCTGAGGATTGGAAAACAGTAGCCCTGTGACTTCATGCTTCACCACGGCAGCATTCCCGGGGATGTTCCTGGCCAGCACCGGAACTTCTAAATCCATCGCCTGGAGGAGACAGGAGGAAAGGGGGCAGAAGGCAGTCATTTCAAGAGCCTCTGCGGCAAGGTGAGCCAGTGTGGGGTGGAATAACTTCTTGGGTTAACTGGACCTCTGGCACCTCACAAAAAATACGCCTTGCCAAAACGAGATCCCAATCTCAATAGCACGTTTGAAAATACATCTGAACTTTAATTACTTACTATGTTTGGAAGCTCTGAAACACTATATACTGTAATCGCTTGTCTGACATAATTATTGCAGTGTCACAAAGAAGCCCCTCTCTCTGAATGCTCATTTGATACCTCTTCACCGACCACCTGGAGGATGTGTTTTTAATCACCATCGTCTCTTTCCCTGAGGGAGCCATTTCCTTCCAGCACAGGCAAGGGAGTATGAATGCCACAAAAACCAAACTCAGCTCTCTGGCATGCAGACAAAAGAAAAAGGAAAACGATTTATCCTTCCAATGAGTCACGAAGCCGACTTTCCATTTCCGAAGGTCTGGGATAGGCACCTGATACCCCACAGCCTGGCAGCAGCTAGCAGCTGGGCCACAAGACGACAGCCCGACAGCACAGTGTGCAGCCCTGGCCCCGCCTGCCCGGACAGGAGGCATTTTGGGAGTTCTCTTTCTACAGTGCTCGAAGCTCAGTGATGTCAGGTCGAAAGGAAACAGAAGCCAACTTCAAGGGGATCCCACCGACCACGGCAGGACAATTTTGCAACTTCAAAAAGAATAATGATTGTAACAGATGGTAACACACTAAATTTCAAAAATACCTGATTCCCTAGTGATGAGAGGGAAATGAAGGGAAAGAGGAGGAGGAGGAAGAGGAAAAGTAGGAGGAAGAAAAGGGAAGGCTCTTCTCTGCAGAAGAATCTGCGTGTATACTAAGTGTAGATAGAAGAGCAGAATTAGAAAATCATCACACTGTAACCCCCGGTGTAATGAGTGATTCAGGCAAGGATTGGGGATCAACAGTGGATCCCAGTGGATCCGGATCAAATCCGTTAAGTAAAAGGTCATGAGGAAACAGGATGGTCTCCGACTTACAATGATTCCGCTTAAGATTTTTTGACTTCATGGTGCTGCAAAAGCAACACATGTTCAGTAAAAACCATATTTCAGCAACAATATAACCATTCTGTTTTTCACTTTCAGTACAGTATCCAATAATATCTTCCACGAGATATTCAACACTTTATTATAAAATAGTTTCATGTTAGATGATTTTGCCCAACTGTAGGCAAACGCAAGTCTTCTGAGCATATTTAAGGTCAGCTGGGCTGAGCTATGATACTTGGTAGATTATGGGTATTTAACGCATTTTCAACTCACAGTATTTTTTTTTTTTTTTTTCGAGACGGAGTCTCACTCTGTCGCCCAGGCTAGAGTGCAGTGGCGCGATCTCGGTTCAGGCTGGAGTGCAGTGGCGCGATCTCGGTTCACTGCAAGCTCCGCCTCCCGGATTCACACCATTCTCCTGCCTCAGCCTCCCGAGTAGCTGGGACTACAGGTGCCCGCTACCACGCCCGGCTAATTTTTTGTACTTTTAGTAGAGATGGGGTTTCACTGTGTTAGCCAACTCACAGTATTTTCAACTTGTGATGGGTTTATTGGGATGCAGCCCATCATAAGGTGAGGAGCATCTGTGTTCCCAAAACCCAAAGCACCACTCCACGGATGACTTATCAGTTACAGAGAAGAGGTAAGGCTTCACAGTGGAGCCATCTGTCACCAACAGCCGGAAGAGCTGACCGATGTGTCTCCCGTTTGACGTGGTGGGAAGCACACATCACCTGCGTGGAGTCCCAGCTGGAGGTGGGAGGTAAATCCAACCCCAAGGAATGCATCAGCCCAATCTATCTGTGTGTTCTCTAGGACAACTGACCAGGGCCCCTCAGAGGGTTCGATGTCATGGAGAGCTATGGGGAGCTGGGCTGGGGGACACTAAAGAGACACAAAGCCAAATGCAATGCATGAATGCTGTGTGGATCCTGCCTGGAAAAAAAAAAAAACACAACACCGAGGGAATTACGCATGGAGTGCATATCCAGTGATGTAATCTGACTAACACTGAATTTTCCCAGGCGTGCTCATGTCTTCCCAGGTGCAGGAGAGGACACCTGTTCCACAAAGTTTCAGAGAGAAATATTAGCTGTGCTGGGATCAACCACCTTCTTTCAGATGATCTGGCAAAAGAAAGAGAGAGGAAGAGGGTGTATGTGTATGGAGAGAGACAGGGGAGAGGAAGAGGAAGCAGGAGGATGAACGTGGGTGAACAGTACACAGGTATTCGCTGCACCATTCTTTCAGTTATTCTATAGACTTTACACTTTTTAAAAGTAAACAAATGATAACATTTGTAAGGGAAGCTCTGAAGCTGATCGGCCTGGGTGTGAATCCTGGTTCCACTAGATGCTACTCGTACCATCTTGGGTCAACATCTCAACCTCCCCCAACTGTTTGACTGTTTCCCCTGAGGTAAAACAGAGATAAAAGTATCTCCTTCATAAGGGTAGTGAGGAAGATTAAATAACCTTTTTTTGCGGGGGAAGGGGGCACAGGGTCTCACTCGGTTGCCCAGGCTGGAATGCCATGGCTCAATCTCAGCTCACTGCAACATTCGCCTCCTGGGCTCAAGCAATCTTCCCACCTCAGCCCCTCTAGTAGCTGGGACTACAGGCACATGCCACTATCCTCAGCTAATGGTTTTAAAAAATTTTTGTAGTGATGGGGTCTTGCTGTGTTTTCCACAATCATCTGAAACTCCTATGATCAAGCAATTCATCCACCTTGGCCTCCCAAACTGTTGGGATTACAGGTGTGAGCCACCGTGCCTGTCCAGACTAAATGGCTTAATACTACAGAATTTACATCTGTCTCTGGGCATTGTTATAACTGCAAATGAGATTATAGTAGCAGGTGGGCTTCCTACCTGACTCAGTAAGTTTTATAGAGCATAGTGACCTGTCCTAGGTCTTGAGAATGCACTTCACACCCATAAATCCCAAGTAAAAAACAGGTGACCTTAGAACCAGACATCGAGATAAAGTAAATTAAAATTATATTAAAGCTATATTAGGCCGGGCGCAGTGGCTCACGCCTGTAATCTCAGCACTTTGGGAGGCCAAGGTGGGCAAATCACCTGAAGTCAGGAGTTCAAGACCAGCCTGGTCAACATGGTAAAACCCCGTCTCTACTAAAAAGACAAAAATTAGCCAGGCCCGGTGGCGTGTGCCTGCAATACCAGCTACTTGGGAGGCTGAGGCAGGAGAATCACTTGGACCTGGGAGGCAGAGGTTGCAGTGAGCCGAGACTGGCTATTGCACTTCAGCCTGGGCAACAAAAGTGAAACTTTGTCTCAAAAAAAAAAAAAAAGAGAGAAATTTCCCTTTTTAGCCTCCCCCTCCCCACCCCACACCCCTGCCCAGGGACCTCATTCTCACTTGATTACCTCTCTCTCCAAATACGCTCCCATTCTGAGACGCCGGAGTGAGGACTTCAACACAGGCATTTGGGGAGGGGCCACCGTTCAGCCCACGCCACCATGGAGCCTCCCTGAGCACATCCCCACCGCCCACTGTCCCGTCTGCTGCTGCGCTTCCTCCTCAGCACTTACTACGTCCGAAAGTTCTCTGTTCCCTCTTCCCTTTGCCTGCTTCCTGCCCGTCTCCCAGCTCTTCTTTCAGTCCCTCACAAGGACATGGGCTCCATGATAACGAGGCCCTTTAGCGTCTGTCCACTGCAGCGTCTCCAGAGCCTGGCAGACCTGGCACTCTACCCACTTCTGCTGAATGACAGAAGGCATGAACACACTCATCCCATCTGACGGTCCACGGCGCAAGGGGAGACGCAGGGAAGAATTCCACACTGTGGAGGGCACGGCCCTGCCTGCAAGGAAAACCGCAGTTTAGCAGAAAAGACGCAATGCAACCCGCTCACGACGTTGTGAAATGAACAGAGGGCAAAGAGACTTCAGTGGAATCTGAGGGTTGCACATTTACAGAAACCTAGTTCTGAAGTCACCTCTTGAGAAACCAACAAAAAGTGCCTTTAACAAAGGAAACGTCTTAAGGAGAGAAGAACTCCTGGACAATGGCGACGGTGTGCAGCTGGGCCTGACAGGTGCGGAGACGGCCGGTGCCTGGGCGGACGGCGCACGGAGGTGAGTGTGCTCGCCCTCAGAACGTGCCCCATGAGTCCACAGGGGGGCACCGTGCACGACTCACAGGCTTGGGACAGAAAGCAGTTCAGAGCCAGTGTCAGGGATCCCACTCTGGAACTAAGACAAATGAAATGTCAGGATCCAAGATGCACCTGACACCTTCGTGTTTGAACTTAATTGATTAGGAAAAAAAAAAAAAACAAAAACTGGCAAGCAAAAATTGCCTACATTTACAGTGTACAACATGATGGGTTTTTGTTTTGTTTTGTTTTGTTTGAGATGGAGTCTCGCTCTATCACCCAGGCTGGAGTGTAGTGGTGTGATCTCAGCTCACTGCAACCTCCGCCTACCGGGTTCCAGAAATTCTCCTGCCTCAGCCTCCCTAGTAGCTGGGATTACAGGTGCAAGTCATCACAGCTGGCTCATTTTTGTATTTTTAGTAGAGACAGGGTTTCACCATGTTGGCCAGGCTGGTCTCGAACTCCTGACCTCAGGGGATCCACCTGCCTCAGCCTCCCAAAGTGCTGGGATTATAGGCGTGAGCCACCCCGCCAAGCCACAACATGATGTTTTGATACACATCTACCCCGTGGGATGGCTAAAGCAAGTTAATTAACATATGCATTACTTTATACTTGTTTTGTGTGGTGGGAACACTTAGGACCTACTCTTAGCAATTTTCAAGGATACAATATATTGTTATTAACTATAGTAGCCATGATGTGCAGTACACATCTTTTGAACTTATTCCTCCTAATTGGAAGTTCAGGTCCTTCAACCAACATCTCCCCACTCCTCACACTCCCAGCCTCTGCTACCCACCATTCTACTCTCTGCTCCTATGAGAACTCACTTGATTTCTTATTTTCCCCAGATGAGCTCTCCAAGCTCTTATCAGGCAGAGGGAAACTTCATATGAGACTCTTTGTAAAAGCCTTTGTGGCCAGGATGCCATTTTCAGCAGGGCTGATAAAGGTTTACACAGACACTGCCTCTGTTCTACCCTGCAGAACAGTCGTAAGAAACTCAGCAGCCAGGCCCCTCCTGAAAACAAGTGAAGCCTGATTTGTGAGGGGTGGGCACCATCACCTGTACCTATGATTGTTTAGGCTTCAAGGTAATTCTGGTACATACCTGGGGCTGGAAACCACCATGTCTAGATTTTGTTGCAGGGAGGTTGGCTTGCATTTTAATGGTCTTTACTGGGCGTCTGTCAAGTCAGACCAGCATTGCTTGTCACATGGCGATGGAGTTGGGCTGGATGTGCCCACAGCGCATTTGGATCTTACATAATTGGGGTTACAGTGATTCTCAATGGGGGTGCCAACAGCATTTTGGGTACAACTCTGATGCAATGAATTGATTAGAATCAATTCAGATAGCCAAAGTGTTCAATCATGGAGTAAGTGTCTGTCACTTTTGAAGGAATTGATCTTTTGACCTTTCAGAATTAGCCGTATTCTGGCACCTTGAACTGGCACCCCACCTCCCTGCAGCTGCTCCATCCCAAATACGTGCCAGTAGCATCTTCCTAATGATGAAAACTCAAAAGGCCCTTCAACTTTCCAAAGTGGCAAAGGCATCTCACCGCCGAATCCACACACACACTTACAAACACACAAACACGCTGACACACTAGTCGAGGTTAAAGTGACACAGAGTCACAGAGTCACCTTGAATGACCTCACATCCTATTTCAATCACTAGGGCTGGAGTCTGGAAGCCAAGGGGCCAGGAATCACCTCCTTCCTGCAGGTGCTCCTCTCTGCTTTAGAAGATGGGCTTCCTCTCTCAGGCAGAGCGTGTGTGTGCGTGCATGCATCTGTAGGTGCATGTGTGTGAGCATGTGTGTGCGCCTATGTGTGTACGTGTGTGTGTGCGCGCGTGTGTGTGTTCTGGGGCCGGGAAAAGAGCCTAATCATGACGGCTGGGATGAGCAAATAACTGTTTATATACTTTTAATGTAATTCTCTGCAGGATTCAACTCTAAAAAAGCTCAAAACTGGAAACAACTGATTAGTTGTAGAAGTGTTCACGCCGCCGCCCACGCATCCAGCTAAAGTTTGATTTTCGGAGTTTATCAGTAAGAAACGTGTTTCTGCAAATGCGATGTTTATATGCTTCCATGGGAAAATACAGCTAATTCTGAAAGGTCGAAAGATCACTTCCTTCAAAAGCGATAGGCACTTATTCCATGATTAAACACTTTGGCTATCTGAATTGATTCTAATGAAATGCACCCTTACCACTCCTCCAAAATCAGCTTCATTCAAAACCCTTTGCCCAAAGGTTATTTGGGAGTTTTCAAAAGGAACACAACATCAACATTTTAAGGCAGTTGGAATTGCCAACAGCTGCCTTTGCTTTGAAGTAAATGAGGTTTGACAGCGGCAGTGAAATGCTGTGTGTGCTGGTTGTAAAATCATTCCCGAATTCCACTCTACCTTTCCTTAAGAAGTTGAAAAAACACGTATGTTTACCTACAAAGGAGCAATTCACAATAGCTCAAATACTGCTGCCATCAGCATATACACTTTTAAAGCTAACATATTGCTCGGAGGACTGCAGTTGGGAGCTGATTTGAAAGGACAATGGAGATTAATACTAGCGACAACCCCTAAACTGAGGTGCTGACGTCTGGCTGAGGATGATCGTGTTACAAACTCACACTTTGCACTTTGAAAGCATCTAACAGCAGATTCATGAGCACAGATACACAGCTGCTACCGGCTCCCTCTGTGTTTTTTTCTTTTGAGGTTTCTTTCTCCTTTTATAAATGATGCCAAATTAAGAGCAAATATTATGCACACAATGTCAGTCATTTCTTAAACGTAGGGAGAGGATTTTTTTCCTAGTTTACCACGTTCTCTCTGGACCCCTAAGGTTTGCAGATCTTAACTTTTGTTAGTAAGTTCAGTACATTCACCCGGTATCCAAGGGGATACATGGATATCCCAAAGACTTATGATAAAGAAACAGCATTAATCTAAGTAGACACTGAACTAAGAAATCCACATATTCAGAAAGAACACATGAAACCTGGGCCAAAGACCTCGGGAAGCAGTGGCCACATGTTTTTCTCGACAGGAAAACAGGCTTTATCATGTGCCCATCAATGCATGCTTACGCCATGTCTGTCGTGTGCAGCATGTGCGCCGAGAACCACCAGGGGTGCCACGCATGCGGTACTGGGTGCTTTAATCGCATGAGGAAAACCCGGTGCCAAAGGCTGGTGTTGGCATGAGTGAGTCCAGCCTGCCCTTTTCTGGGTTCATTCTTCAGGAGCCTCCAAGGCAATGAACTAACCCCAAAACAAGAGAAGGAATGTCTTTTTCTGTTAGACACAGGCCGGTGATTCTCTCTAGGAGCTAACATCAAGCATCGAAGATCATGGTAAAATGCCCCAGTCAAAAACCTCTCAAGGAGGAGGAGATGTTGTAGGTGGTCCCATTGCAAAGGGGATGCGAGGATTTCCAGGATCTTTTACAGAAGAGGGGACACAGCCCAGCCAGAAAATGCCCAGGTTTCAAGAGCACCGTCTTCCCACTCCAACCTCGGTCCTGAAAACACAGATACACTGGTGGGGAATTGCAGAGTGGTGCTGGGATAGACACGTTTTGTCAAAAAAGACGAAGCGATTTTACAGAGCTGACTGCTAGATAAAGAGATCAGATCCAGCCTGGCCCCCACGCCACCCCGTCATCTGTGATCACTACCCTGCCCCTGTCTCCTGCCACCTGCAAAGTCCAGCCCTTTCTTCTCCTCCCTCAAGCTCTGGAATTACAGAAAATATGGAAAAGAAAGAGAAAAGATCAAGTAAAAGGAGGCTTCCTGCAAAAACACCTTCATCCTGTTTCCTGGCCCAATCTTTCGTAACCTTAGCTGCCTTCCTGTCAGAGATATTTAGACGGTCAGAGAGGCAATGCCATCCCAGTTTTATTTTACGTCATCGCTGGCAAGGAGAAATAGCAATGAGAAATGAAATGATATTTTTAAACTTTCAGATAGAACTTCAAAGGTACTTTTGAACTCCAACGGGTATGCTGCTTGGCCTTTTTAGCTTTGAGAAGTGCAGAATGCTATTGACAAAGACGTCACCTCCATAAATAAGAAAAGGAGTGATGGACAATTTCATACTCCCACTTTCAGTACTCGAGTTACATAATTACCTCCAGAATTGCAGCGGACATGCCTTCAGAGACAGAGCTGTTCACCACCGCGAAGCAGTTCTTCACCACCGCGTGCAAATCTTCTTGGGGCATCTCTCCAATCAATCGAACCCCAGCGGCCCTGAAACACAAAGCAGGAAGAGGGGCTCTAATTCCAAGAATCTCATGGGTAGGCAGCTGGGAGGAGGAGAGATGACAGTTTGGGTGCAATACTTTAGATCAGCAAGTAAGCATTGTTGACCAAGCGTTCAGCCGGGAGAACTATACTGGGGTGGAAATCCTTACAGCTCATGTCCCTGATAAGGGAGGGGGGGAGTTGCTTAACATGTCTGCTTTTGTTTTCAGTACGCTCAGTAAAGACACCTGCTCTCAAGGGCTAGGAGAGTCAGAGATAAGGTTTGTGCCATTTTCTCTGTATGATTTAGAAAACATTTTTCTAATAATTCAACTTTTTTCAAATAATTTTTTAAAATACTAATAAGATAATAGGAATAGAAATAATAGAAACAGGCCAGGTGCAGTGGCTCATACCTGTAGTCCCAGCACTTTGGGAGGCCAAGGCAGGTGGATTACCTGAGATCAGGAGTTCAAGACCAGCCTAGCGAACATGGTGAAACCCCATCTCTACTAAAAATACAAATATTAGCCAGGCGTGGTGGTGTGTACCTGTAATCCTAGCTACTTGGGAGGCTGAGGCAGGAGAATTGCTTGAACCCGGGAGGCGGAGATTGCAGTGAGCTGAGATTTTGCCACTGCGCTCCAGCCTGAGTGACAGAGCACGACTCGGTCTCAAAAAAGCAAAAAAGAAAAAAGAATGGAAATAGAAATACTAAATAGTGATGATAATGTCACAAAAGCCCTGTTCCCAGCACACAGCGTTGACAGCTATTTTGTCATAGACATTTTGCCTTGTTCTATTTTTTTCACCACACAATGTAAATCTTCACCTTTCTTTGATCTTCCCAGTCCCCACCACTGGCCACCACTCTTACGGCTCTGCCATGCCTCCCTTCCCTGAGCAGGTGATACTCTTGCACACATGCGTCTGCACCTAGGAGCAATCTGAAGATCCCTGATTATAGATGGGGAAAAAACCAGTCTTTGTCAGTGCCCTTGGTGGTTGGTGTGGCCAACGAGTCTGGCTGGAATCCCGGGGGCTGTGAGGACACCACTTTACAGGAGGCTGACCCAAATGACACCCACATCCTTCTGGTCTGCTCATTCCCATTGCCCCACTTACAACGCAGACTGATGACACAGCTCTAAAGCCACCACGTCACCTTCAGAACGGGAGCCACAGGCCGAGGAAGGCAGGACAGAGACAAGAGCCAAATCCCTGAGGTCTCAGCGAAGCCTCCACTTTGCTCCCTGACTGACCACCCTCAGACTTGTCGATGTGGGCAATGAAACCTCAATGTGTTCAAGCCTGTGCTGTTGGGTTCCCGGCTGACAAACGCAACTTATAACCAACACTCCAACAAATTGCTCCCCAGACAGGCTGTGACAAAGGGGAAATACCCCTCCATTCTTCCAAATCTTTGAGACTTTAAATCTTTCCATTTTGGCCAATGTGATCAGTTAAAAATTATAATCACAAAGTGGTTTTTATTGGCATTTCCCTGGGCAAACACTGGTGCCTAGGATGCCATGGGCTCGCTGGGAGGATGCACCACACGAGGAAACACTTGGAAACTGCTTGGAATAGTGTCTGGGACTGGATAAATGTGAGTTCAGGTAACTCAGGGGCCACTCAGGCTTCCCGTTCTGCAAAATGACTGGTCTCCACCAACCCTTACCTTCTCACTTTGGCTTTTACTTCCCTTGTAAACACTGGATCGACCTGAAAAGAGACAAAGATAAATGTCAGCGGTCGCCGCCTGCTAGTGGCACTGCCAGCCGGCCAGCACGGGCCAGGCCAAAGCCCTGGTGCCAGCGTGGCGCGGGCCCCGGTCTGCGGCCATGGGGGTGTCCTCGCGGCTGCTGTGCGCGGTGACCATGGGGGCCCCGGGCTTGGGCAAGGGCACCCTGTCATCGCGCATCACCAAACACTTGGAGCTGAAGCACCTCTCCAGCGAGGACCTGCTCCAGTACAACATGCTGCGGGGCACAGAAATTGGCATGTTACCTGTTCTCACTCATAAGTGGGAGCTGAACAATGAGAACACATGGACGCAGGGAGGGGAACATCACACACCGAAGCCTGCTGGGAGGTCGGGGGCTGGAGGAGGGATAATGTTAGGAGAAATACCTAATGTGAATGACGGGTTGATGGGTACAGTAAACCAACATGGCACATAGATAGGTATGTAACAAACCTGCATGTTGTGCACATGTACCCCAGAACTTAAAGTATATATAAATATAGAAAGAAAGAACAAAAGAAAGAAAGGAACAGAGAGAGAGAGAGAAAAGAAAGAAAGAAAGAAAGAAAGAGAAAGAAAGAAAAAGAAAGAAAGAAAGAAAGAAAGAAAGAAAGAAAGAAAGAAAGAAAGAAAGAAAGAAAGAAAGAAATTGGCATGTTAGCCAAGGCTTTCATTGACCAAGAGAAACTCATTCCAGATTACGTCATCTCAGCTGACCCTTCAGGAGCTGCAAAATCTCACCTAGTCTAGCTGTTGGATGGTTTTTCCAAGGACACTTTCACAGGCAGAAGCCCTAGATAGAGCAGATCAGATCGACACAGTGATTAACCTGAATGTGTCCTTTTAGGTCATTAAACAACGCTTTACTGCTCGCTGGATTCATCCCGCCAGCGGCCGAGTCTACAACACTGAATTCAACCCTCCCAAAACTGTGGGCACTGATGCTCTGACAGGGAGCCTCTCATTCAGCGTGAGGAGGATAAACCAGAGACGGTTATCGAGAGACTACAGGCTTAGGAAGCCAAACAAAGCCAGTCCTGGAATATTACCAGAAAAAAAGAGGTGTTGGAAACATTCTCCAGAATAGGAACCAACCAGATTTGGCCCTATGGTGATGCTTTCCTACAAACTAAAGTTCCTCAAACAAGCCAGAAAGCTTCAGTTACTCCATGAGGAAAAATGTGTGGCACTATTAGTAGTAAGATGGGCACGTCTCATAGTCCTTGCATTTAGAAGCTGTTTTTCCTAAGACTTCCAGTATGTATGAATTCTTTGAAAATTATATTACTTTTATTTCTGCTGATTTTATTCTAGATGCTAAGGATGTGCCAGATGAGTCAGATACTAAGATGCATCCTTTGAAATCACCTAGTGTGTTTTATGCAGCTATCTTCAAAAACATCAATGATGTCTGAATTTTTAAAACATCTGTTAGAGCAAAATTAAAAGAGCGTTTGGTAGTAATCTAACTTTTTGTTCAGTTAATAAGTGGTTGATAAAGTTTCCATATTTTCCTGGAAAAGTTAAAAAAAAGTTACATGCCATTGGGGGAAAATGGGTGATCAGAAATATTTGCACAGATTGATGGCAAAAAAGACATTTCCAGCATTGTGGAACATGGTGAGACACTATATAAAATTCCAGAAAGAAAGCAACTGGGTTTACAGATTTATTGTAAGACACAAATTCTCTGCCACTAAGAAATGTATATGCTAACCATACATGCTGTATTTATTTTGTTGTTAAGCATACTTTCAGTTTACTCCGAATTTTCAGTTTGCTACAAAAATGTATCCATTAGCATATAGAAAAATATTACTTTAAGATGACTTGTTTCCTTTGAAAATACATATGTACCGAGGGTTATGATTTATGTCAGAAATTGACATTATAAGTCCTTGGAAAAGCACCAAAGTTGAATGAATTTTCAACAAAATATAATTAAAATCTATATGTTTTCAGATGTGACTCAGGTTAAGAAATGTGTTTTAGGATCTACTTGCCGGTTTCTCTTTTTGATCCAAATGTATGATCTGCCCTGATAAATAACAAGTTATGGTACCACCCCCTGCCAAAAAAAAAAAAAAAAAAACTCGCGGCGCTATGTAAATAAAGTAAGCACGCATTGTCGTGAGTAAATAGATGAGAGATGCCTGGGAAATGCTCCCTTGGCATAAATAGCAATCAATCATAATTAGTAAACAGGTGTGCCAATAAAAAGAATGTACACAATAGGTTAACAAGGACCAGGAAAGTAAGTGAGTTTCCTGAAGGAGTTCTTTGTTCCTGATCAAAGAAATCGATACCTGTGAGCATTCACTGCCACCTTATTTTAAGGGGAAAGAAACTTTGTTGGTGTCATCTGAGAAGCCATTTAAAAACTGGAATGTGGGCCGGGCGCAGGGACTCACGCCTATAATCCCAGCACTTTGGGAGGCTGAGGCAGGTGGATCATGAGATCAGGAGATCGAAACTACCCTGGCCAACATGGTGAAACCTCGTCTCTACTAAAATACAAAAAATCAGCCGGGCGTGGTGGCGGGCGCCTGTAGCCCCAGCTACTCAGGAGGCTGAGGCAGGAGAATGGTGTGAACCCAGGAGGTGGAAGTTGCAGGGAGCCAAGATTGCGACCACTGCACTCCAGCCTGGGGGGCAGAGCGAGACTCCATCTCAAAACAACAACAAACAAACAAAATTGGAATCTAAAGTGATTCCTGAGTGGGGCAGCAAGGATGGTTGCTGACGTGCTGTGTGGTCTGGTAGAAGTGGGGCAGTGTGAGAGGTGGAGGAAATGCCCGATGGCGTCTTCCGTGGCGTATTTACTCTTGACTTGGTGCCAAATCAAATGAAACAAACCCTCGTACAAGCTGTTATTAATTGCCTTTAAAAATCTGTTCCATTTTTTTCCAGGTACTTAAAATACAAGTGCCAGTAAGTAGTTCTTATGTATTTTGGGGGAAAAATTTTATTTTCCTTTTCTTCTGATATTTTAAAAATTCACTGAGGCTTCAAGATGAACCAAAGTTTCTTAAAAGAATTATAGTAAACACTTCATTCTTTATAAAACTTTTTATAGTGCCTTATTTGAATGTTAATTGTATGTGCTTTCTAAAAATGTTGTGAACTACCAAACTTATGGATTATTGCTAGGTTATCAGGCATACATTAGTCTTTATCAGAATAAAATGCAATTTCATAACCGAGGCTATTACTTTGTCCTTGGTCCTTCACAGGGCCTGCTCCAGCCCACCTTCCTTCCTGCTGCCTGATGTCTCAACGGCTTCTGAATGACTGTGTTTTAATAAATGATCTTAAAACAGTTAAAAAAAAAAAAAAAAGATACATGTTAGCAAAAGCCTGAAATGAGGCTAAGTCTCCAGCGAATTACATCAAATGGCAGCAGAGCCAGACTCAACAATTCAGAGAGGGAAAAAAGTGGTAGGAAATGGTACTATGAGCCCAGCTATTAAATAATAAAAATAATAGTAAAAAAAAAAAAAAAAAAAAAAAACAGAGAGAGAGCGGGCATGGTGGCTCAAGCCTGCGATCCAGCACTTTGGGAGGCCGAGGGTGGGGATCACGTGATCAGGAGTTCGAGACCCACCTGCTGGCCAACATGGTGAAAGCCTGTCCCTACTAAAAATACAAAAACTGGCCGAGCGTGGTAACGAGTGCCTGTAATCCCAGCTACTCGGGAAGTTGAAGAATCACTTGAACCAGGGGCGGAGGTTGCAGTGAGCCGAGATTGCGGCATTGCACTCTAGCCTGGGTGACAGAGCGAAACTCTGTCTCAAAAAAGAGAAAGAAGACAGAGAATGTTCCAAAGAATACCTATAGGCTCTGGTTAGGAGCCTGTATGGCTACACCCGAGTGTGGCGAGTGAGAACCCTTCAGCCAACTTAAGGTCTTGAGACAGAGTCGTTTCCAGAAATGGGACAATTGGACAACAACCGAATTTTGCAGTGAAAGTGTTGCTTAAATGATGCAGAAGGATTTTGTCATAAAATCATTCAGGCAGAATAGGCTGGAATCCTTAGGAAGTCTATGACCAAAGGTCTGACCATATCAAAATATCTTTTAACAGGATGACTTCTCAGAAACAGTTGGAAAGGCCAGGACCTGATCACCAGCTGATGAATGAGTAATCGTGACGTGCCTGTCCACACAAAGGGAGAGCCACTCAGCCATGACAAGGAAGTGCTGACTTAAGCCACAACAAGGGTGAGTTTGGGAAACACGATGCCACATGAGTTACACCAGACAGAAAAGACCACAGAGTGTATGATTCCATGTCTATGAAATGGCCGGAGCAGGCAAATCATAGAGACAGAAAGCAGATTAGCGGTTACCCGGGGTTGCTTAGGATCTAATTAGGGGTTATTGGGGTGAGGGGGAAATGGGAAGTGACTGCTTAATGGATAGAGGGTATCCTTTTGGGGTGAGAAAAATATTCAGGAATGAGATAGGCGTGATGGTTGCACAACTTTGTGAATAGACTAAAGCCCACTGGCTTGTGCACTCTAAAATGGTGAATTTTGTGGCATGTGAATTCCACCTCAACTTTTTAAAGGCCAGGGGCAGCATTTGCATTAGTCACAACCTAACATCCTCCAGTCCCAACTTGACTCCTACTTTAGAACAGGTGCTTTGGAGCAGGGACTGTGTTCCGTCCTGTTGCATCCCTGAGGGCTAATAACACACTTGTTGAATTCACGCAAAAATTAATGGCAACATATTCAAACTTATTGCTCCTCAGAGATAGGCCACAAGTTTTTAAGCAAACTCGTGGATAGTGGATGTGTGGAGGCCAGAAAGAGGCAGCACCAGACTGAGGGGACTCCGGATACAGAGGGCCAGGGTCAAGGCCCCCCCAGGCACCAAACTAGCCTCATGCACATTAACGGACCTCTCCGCGTGTCAGTTTGCTCATCTGTCCAGGGAGAACTCTAGAACCTTGGGATTGCTCGGAGGAGTAAATGACTTAGAAGACGTGACGTGCGGAGCCTGTATGCACATTCAGGCCCACTCCAGCGGCTGAATTTGTAAAACTATGCTCTGCTGCCTCTCTGCTTGCTGTTAGAACTGTGCCTGGGACACAGTAACTGCTATACGTGTTGCAGAAGAAAAAAGTCAAATGTTAAAGTCTTATTAGAAAAATACTGGAAGAAAATAATAATGAGAGCTACAGAGAGCACCACCAATACAAAATAATCCATAAGCTTAATCTCACATATATATGTATATAGTACATATGTAATATATTAATGTATATGCACATGTATATTATATGTATATGTGTACATATATAAGATATAACATATATATACATATTAGAAATGGGGTCTGATGGTTAGAATCTGTGTCCCCACCCAAATCTCCTGTTAAATTGTAATCCCCAGTGTTGGAGGTGGGGCCTGGTAGGAGGTGATTGGATCACGGGGGTGGTTTCTAACAATTTAGCACCATCCCCCAGTGTTGTCTCATGATTGGGGTCTCAGGAGATCTGGCTGTTTAAAAGTGTGTGGCACCTCCAGCCTCGAGCTCTTCCTCCTGACCCAGACACGTAAGAAGCGCGCCTACTTCCCCTTCGCCTTCCGCTGTGATTGAAAGTTTCCTGAGGCATTCCCTGGCTGTGCTTCTTGTACAGCCTGAGGAACTGGAGCCAATTAAACCTGTTTTCTTTATAAATTACCCAGTCTCAGGTAGTTCTTTATAGCAGTGTGAGAACTAATACAGGGTCTCACTATGTGGCCCAGGCTGGTCTCGAACTCCTGGGCTCAAGCGATCCTCTTGCCTTGGCCTCCCAAACTGCTGGGATTACAAGCATGAGCCACTGTACTCGGCCAAGCTTAATCTCAAATGTGTACTTTTTTTTTTTTTTTTTTTTTTTTAGTAGAGACAGAGTTTCACCATATTGGCCAGGCTGGTCTCAAACTCCTGACCTTAAGTGATCCGCCCACCTTGGCCTCCCAAAGTGCTGGGATTACAGGTGTGAGCCGCTGCACCCAGCCTCAAGCGTGTACGTTTTTGATTAACTACACATCTGAGATTAAGCAGCACTGCCACACCTCTGAACACTCCAGAACTGGGAAGTAGAGAGAAGCTCCCTGATTGCCTGAAAGGAACCCCTGTGTTCCCAAGGGCAGCCGCCACACTCCTCACCACCAGAAACCTCGCCATGACACGACCTCGTCTCGTGCAACCTCGTCTTGTGCAATGACCTCATCTTGTGCAACGACCTGGCCTCAGGTAAGTTTGCTTACTGAGGTACTGAGAGGACCTTCCTAGCGTGCTGCTTCACCTTTTCCAGCCACTCAGGACAAAGCTGCAGTATATAGTTACCATATCTGGCTCATCCAACAGCAAAGTCTTCAACAAAACAACCAACACCCATGCCTTTCCTGGTCTTATCGACAATGAATAGAATTTTAAAACACTAAAAAAATATTCCTAAATGTATGCAAGTGTAACACAAAATTCTAAGCATTTATTGAAAGATACAGGCAGAGGGTCTAAACGCATTTTGCTAATGCCGTGCCTGCAGTTTCTTCCCAGCTGCTACTCCTGATGAGCCAGGAGTGAAGGCATATTCAATTTCTATTCTCATTTACACTTTACCAGTAGGCATTATGAAGTACAAACCAAGCTGGTTTAAAGAATATGATGATATCCCAACAGTTTATAATACTAACTGAAATAATGCTGCTTTCTAGAAACTTTGTTTCCTTTCTTCTGGCAAGGAGATGTTTCACGTGTTTATTAAACCCCAGCTCCTTCAGTTGACCAGAAAGCCTGAGATTTAACCCAAAGGATTGGTAATGTTCAGCTTGTTGACATCCCTGAGGTCACCAAGTCACTGAAAATTTGCTGTTAGCCTTCAGCAAATTTGGATGCATAAGAAAATTTAAAAGAATTCCCGGAAATCTATTTCAAGAGAAAAATTCATAGCCATACACAATTTTTTTGTTTATTGCTGTTGTTGCTATTAATAATCTATACTTCTCGGCCACCTACTCTGTGCAGAACATATGCTGAGTCCTTTACATGCATTAGCTTATTTCTTCCAACAACCTGGTTATCATTACCTGCCTTTTACACATGAAGACACCGAAGCTCAGACAGTTCTATAACCTAACCAGGATCACACAGCTAGAAAGTTGCTGGGCCAGTACTCACATTCAAGCTGACTCCTGGGGCTGAATTTGTAAAACTATGCTCTGCTGCCTCTCTGGTTTCTGTTCAAAGTATTTCATCAGATATAGTTCACAAGCTTATGTAGATTATGGAAAGCCTACCTACTGATTAATTTACCCACTACACCCCATCCATGTCTGTATTAGTCTGTTCTCACACTGTTAATGAAGACATAGCCAAGACTGCATAATTTACAAAGGAAAGAGGGTTTAATTGACTCACAGTTCCAATGGGCTGGGGAGGCCTCAGGAAACTTACAGTCATGATGGAAGGGGAAGTGAACACCTCTTTCTTCACATGGCAGCAACAAGGAGAAGTGCAGAGCAAAGGGGAAAAAGTCCCTTATAAAACCATCAGATCTTGAGAACTTACTATCACAAGAACAGCATGAGGGTAACCACCCCCATGATTCAATGACCTCCTGTGACACGTGGAGATTATGGGATTGCAATTCAAGATGAGATTTGGGTGGGGACACAGCCAAACAATATCAGTGTCTGTGTCCCTGCATTCTCTCTACCAGGAATGTCATCCTCTGTCCCCAAAACCTATTTATCCTCTGAGATGAAGGCAATGCCCCCTCTCTGAGACACTTTCCCATCATTCTGTCCAGAAGTAACATCTCCACCCCACGCTATCATAACACCTACCACAGGGACCAACCTCTTTTGATACTTGCCCACATTCTCCTCCTATCTCCATGTCCCTCCCAAGGGCATGCACAGGGCCCTGCGTACAGTTCTGTGCTCATAATATCTGCAAAAAGAATGACCTCCGGCTGACCCCACTTTTCCATTTCCCATTGCTGATGCCTTTTGCTCGAATTATCCTAAACAACTGAATTACTCTTTATCCATAATATCTTATCATGAAAAAGCACACAGTCCAATGAAAGCCTTTTTTGGGCTCTACATATTAATTTTCAAAATCACATTTTATGAGTATTTTTAGTTAGAGATTTCTCTTATTTTTAATTTTATTAGCATGCCTCTGCTCTCATTAATAACTATTTAGGGAAAAATAATTTATCAAGGAAAAAAATCAAATTGTATAAAACCACAAAAACACTTCATCTAAAACTTAACTGAAGGCATAACAGCAACTTTCAAGTTGAAACTAAAAACTGCATTAAATTTTTCTGGATTTACCTTCCACATTAGCTCACTTTCAAATTTCTTAGCGAAGCCACGTGGAACAAAGTGCGAGATAAAGAAAAAAAGAAGGGGGGACATTTTTATTTAATGAAAGCACATGTCATGAGATTTTAAAAGGCAAAAGCATTGCAAGCCACAATGAAAATTCTCATTTCCTCCTTCCAAGCTTATTTATTTTCTAGCAAAATACATTGTTTCAACTCCTAGACTTAAGGGAAATAATCTTTGATACAAGAAGTTATCGTGGAAAGTCATTAAGCTGTCATGCTCAAACCAAATGTTCATACCCTGCTCCTTATCAAAGAGCACCAGAAAATGCACCCACACAAGATCCCCTGCAAGCAGACACCATATGCTTCGTTGAAATGCTTGAGCTAAGAGATCAAAGAAGCTTTAATAGAAAACCAAAGCCACGCTCAAACCATCCTGCAGCTAAAACAGGATCTCAGCATGTCAAAGCAGAAAAGAAACACCAGCATGAAAAGATATTTTATTTTATTTTATTTTATTATTATTATTTTTTTGAGATGGAGTCTCGCTCTGTCGCCCAGGCTGGAGTGCAGTGGCCGGATCTCAGCTCACAACAAGCTCCGCCTCCCGGGTTCACGCCATTCTCCCGCCTCAGCCTCCCGAGTAACTGGGACTACAGGCGCCCACCACCTCGCCCGGCTAGTTTTTTGTATTTTTTAGTAGAGACGGGGTTTCACCATGTTAGCCAGGATGGTCTCGATCTCCTGACCTCGTGATCCACCCGTCTCGGCTTCCCAAAGTGCTGGGATTACAGGCTTGACCCACCGCGCCCGGCCGCAAGATATTTTATTTAACACTCACAGGACGTTGCCTAGGAATGAGGCACTATTCCAGGCACCGTCT